CAACCTCTTGAACTTAACGGATGTACTTCAGCCAATTTCGACGGAGAGAGAGCTTACATCATCTTAAGTCGACGTTAGTCAGTCAATTGCTTTGATCAATCAATACCTGAATAGTGGTCAGAAATATCGGGACTAGCTGTGCTGACGAAGTGACACACACATTGAGAGGTTAAGAGAACTGCAGTGGCGGAAGGAAGACGTTCTGATAACTAGGCCAGAGAATGGGAACTGGCGTTGTTTTGATGGACTGGGCAGACGAATGCAACAAACAGCGTGCTCCCTACTTCATTTTCGGCCTATCTTCTCAAGGTATCACAGGAGGTGATAACCGTACGACTCACTCCGTCGCATTCATCTCCAGTAGGAGACGGGGTACTCATCCCATCTAGGAGGCATCCCTTAATAAACCTGACTTGTACTTTCGCCTCCACAAGCAGTCAATTCTTTCGGATGAGAAATATTTCAGAAAGAGAGAATGAGAAGGACCGAAGAGATGAGATTGAAGCACAACTGACTGACTGACTTCTTGAAAAGACTTCAGGCAGATCGTTGTTGCATAAGCGAACACCACGTATAGCGGCGCTTTCGACCCCTCGGTACGCACATGCCTCTATTCTATGGTTTGCCGATGATGGCGCAAAAGATGGCGCACAGGTTCGTCCAATTCTCCATATGAGGAACTAGACGGACCATGCAATATCGAAGTGATTGGCGGTGAAACTTGAGTTTCTGTAGTATCTGCTAGCGCCAAATAGCTGTGGAGATACTGTTGACTTCATTGATGGCCTGAAAGACTTCAATCTGTACGAAATCGTAATTTTTTCTCGTCAGATGTCGTGTCATTTCTACGAGCGTATCGGTCACGGAAGTGGTCAGCTACAAAACTTTTTCATTGCACTGCTGCAGACAAAAAAACAGGATATAGTTTGAATGCCATCAGTGAATGCCCCCAAGCGACTGTTATTGAGGTGCACCCACTCTGAAAGTGCACTTGCTGTTCGGCGACAACAATCTATATAGACAGATAGACGGAGTAGCTATTGGCTCGCTCGCCACATGGCCTGCTTTTGGCAAATATATTCAGGGCAATTTTAGAAGCTTTCCAATTACGTAACTAGGTCAACGGTTTAAGATACTATGGGCAGTGGTACGTGGATGATATAGTGGCAATTGCACTGAAGCAATGTGACATCCCCTCAAGTCGTCGACTGGATGACATAAATCAGGCGCATCCATCAATAAAATTCACTCTGGAGGAACAGGAAGAACAGTCCGCTGCACTTGCCTTTCTGGATGTGCTTCTAAGTAGCAGACTTGACGGCAGCATTGGACGTAGCTTCTATCGTAATAGAACCTGTTCCGGACAATACATCCATTTTTGGAGTTTTGTACTGCTAAACGTTAAAAGCCATTTAGTCCGCTGTATGACAGAAAGAGTGAGAAGAATCTGCTCAGCTGATAGTTGTGTTGAGTAAGAGCTTAATATCGTGGTAGGACATTTGTCGTGCATGAACAGGTATTCTGATCGATTGATTGCTGCTAAGAACATGACCGAAAGACCATTAAAGCCGCCGATACTGAAAGGGCTCTTCATCAGTCGATGCTGCACGCAAGCGAACTTTTTAAAAGACGCCTAACTCACCGACCTGTAACAGAGACCTTTCCAGCAGCTGACTCCCAGCAGTCCCTTCATACAATCCGCAGTTGGCAAGGACAAACTACCAGCTCAGACCACCTCTATGTGTATTTACACATCCTTCATCTGTTCCATTTGCGGGGGTGGGCAGAATATGTTGGTGGCAGGAGCCGGCGTTTATCCAAAAGAACATCTCCCAGCGCGCCAGGTTAGGAAAGGGTCAAATAATGAACATCAAGTTGTCGATCCTCGCACGCCCACGTGGTAGACGCCGCAGACCACCGTGTAGACGCAGTCCAGAGAGTCAGTATCAATATCAGTATCAGTACATTTCAAGGAATGTAGGCGTGTACCTTTGAAATCCCTATTTTTTACATGCAGAGGATATATGTGGAGGAAATGGAAAGGAAGTATCATGAAGGAAATGCGATGGGAAAAGCAAAAACTTGACTGATGTACACAGAATGTCATGCGTTAACAGAGTTTAGAGGCACATTAACTTGTTTTGTCAATAAAATCCCGCGGACATTAGAAGCACACTTAAGATACGGGAAAAGAAGTAAACATTTTTAGCCTACAGGCATCGATGTGAATGCGAGTAGCGGTGTGCGACGTGACTCAAATCAGTAAATTACATAAACTTATGTTACTTAAATGTTTGTAGTAGCATCTCCACAACAATAAATTGTCAATGTTGGCTATCAAGGTGGCTGCAGACCGCCGTTATTGTGGTTCGCGCTCCAATGGTGATCTAGCCTCCGTTTAAACGTATCGACGGATGCCGACATAACAACATCCTCAGGCAAGGCATTCCAAGCTGCAGCCACTCTGTCGGAGAAGAAGAACTTTCTTGTGTCTAGCCGGGCACCAGTCACACGCAGTTTGAGTGAATGGCCTCTCAAGTTTGTCGGAGTCGCCAACTCGAAGAAGTCTCCTGATGCGAGGCAGCAGCCCTGATTGCGCACGATGCGGAATGCTTGTATCAGGTCCCTACGTAGCTGTCTGTAACTCAAAGGAAAGAGGGCAAGATTAGCTAATCGTGTTTCGTAGGGTAGTGACCACTGCCCAGATACAAGTTTCGTTGCTCGCCGTTGAACTTTTTCAAGTATGCCAAAATCTTTAGCGGTCCAGGGTGTCCATGCTTGGATAGCAAACTCCATATGCGGTCGCACGAAGGTTTGAAAGACCTTGGCGAAGCAGTCTTCATCAAAGGAGGAGAACGCCCGTTTGACGAGGTATAGAATGGACATCGCCGACTTGGCCACCTTTGAACATTGCAGCCAAGGCTTCAGCGAGGTTGTGATCCATACACCCAGGTCCTTCTGCGCGTCGACTTCTTGCAGTGCTTTGTCAGTCAGACGGTAGACTGTGTGGTTAGGAGAACTGGTTCTGCCGACGCGCAGGAAATTGCACTTGTTTACGTTGAACGGTTGAAGCCAGTCTTTCGACCATTGCTCGAGGTGGTCCAGGTTTGTCTGCAGTCGCGCCTCGTCAACTTCGCTTCGTATGGTACTCCAGATCTTTATGTCATCGGCAAACATTGCGACATCGCAATTCCGTTCGTTTGCGCAGTCATTGACGTATACGAGTAACAGTGTAGGGCCCAGAACAGAGCCTTGGGGAACACCACTCCTAACGGCAACATCGGCAGGTTGCTGGACACTGAACTGGGCGGCTTGAGAGCGGCCGATTAAAAAGCTCAGAATCCACAACAGAAGCTTAGCTCGCACTCCTGACCGGCTAAGTTTGTATAGAAGGCGGTGGTGAGGCACACAATCGAAGGCCTTTTTAAAGTCGATATAGATCTCCTCTATCAACAGCCCTAGCCCAGTGTTACAGACAGTAGAGCAGATTTGTCACACAGGATCTGTTTTTGCGGAATCCACGCTGGAAATCGGAAAGCAAACGTTTTTTGTTCAAGGAACTGCATTCATTGTTGCTTAATTATAGTCTCCATAATCTTACAGCAAATGGAGGTGAGACTGAAAGTTCTCTAACTATTCACAGAGACCCGACTTCCGCCCTTTTAAACGGCGTAATACACGCTGTCTTCCTGTCGGGTGGCAGATATCCGGTCTCGAAGGATATATTGAAGAGCATAGAGAGTGGCTTAGACAACTCACCGGCGAGTTGTTTCAAAATCGTCGCCGGAATCTCATCGGGACCTGGTGATTTGGATTCCTGTAGCCTCAGCAACTCCGTCAGAACCATACCCTCAGTGAACTGAATTTTACAAGGTGCCATCAAACTATGCAAAAACTACTTGGGCAGCGCTTCTTGACTACGGCAGAGGCGGCTGCAATCAGGCTACGCGGGGCGGACCGGTCCAATGCGCCCTGAAGAATTTCCTACAGGTTGCGCCCACATTTGGCATGGGTCAAAGCCATTAAGCCAGTCACCCGCCCACCCACCCGCATCATGTAATTACCTTCGCCACAGCGGGGGCCCATCTTCTACCTCACGCTGACTGCAATTGTGGTCTTTCACTCTCCCCTCCCCTCCCCCCTCCCCTCCCCTCTCCAATCCCCAGGTACAGCTTAATTATCCACGTGCCCGTATCGCCTTTTCATTCATTACTTCTTCAATAGTAGCCACAAAGGCCTGAAGAGAATTGTTTATCGAAAGCACACGTATACACGCCAAATTGCCCTTTGAATTGTACATAGGCAATTTTCACAACTGTAAAACAGTCCAAATATTCCGCGGTGTTGTTAAAGGCACTCAGTGGGGGTACATACGTTTCAGCAGCACCAAGCCTGTGGAGGCGAATGTACGAGCCATGTTTATCAAGAGATGCCTCCTCGAGGGAAATGAGTACCCAATCTCCTACTGGAGATGAATGCGACGGAGTGAGTCGTACGGTTAACATCTCCTGTGATACCTTGAGAAGATACGCCGAAAATGGACTAGAGAGCAGGCGTGTTTTAAATCCGGTGGAAGAGCTGGGGCGTCAGGTGTGTCAACGGGTAGCCGCCATACTCGATCAACTTGGCGAAGACGAGCGGCAGGACTTCGACAATTATGTATGTGCAAACCATCTCGGACAAACGTGGAGAGGCCTTCAAGCGGGCTTCCCTTCTTCGCCGTGGGAGTATTGACGAGGGCGAAGCACAATGTAAGATCCCTGAAGATGCATGTCGGTACGTACACAATTATTCGTGTATATCTTTCGTTAAAACATCGATTGCATCCTTATGGTTGGGCCCTGAGTTTTGCTGTCCTCGCCAGAATCCCAGCCAGTTAGAGTTAGAAACACAATTCGAGAACCCAACCTCTTGAACTTAACGGATGTACTTCTGCCAATTTCGACGGAGAGAGAGCTTACATCATCTTAAGTCAACGTTAGTTAGTCAATTGCACTTATCAATCAATACCTGAATAGTGGTCAGAAATATCGGGTCGGCTTCCTGTGCTGACGAAGTGACACACACACATTGAGATTTTAAAAGAACTGCGGCGGCGGCGGCGGCGGCGGAAGAAGGACGTTCTGATAACTAAGCCATATAAGGTAACTGAAGACTATATCGGTTAAATACAGCCAATTCTGTCGGATGCGGAAAAGACAGATGAAAGACAGAGAAGGAGAATGACCGAAGAGATGAGATTGAAGAACATCTGACTGACTGACTGTCTACTTGTCCTGGGACTGGAAGCTCTGAAGCTGCCTAGTTGAAGAAAGTTGCACTTGCTTATATTGAAGGGCATAAGCCAGCGCTTCGACCAGTCTTCGTGCCTGTTCAAGTTTGCTTGCAGGTGGTCTGCGTCTGCCGCATTGTGAATAACTTTCCACAATTTAATGTCGTCGGCAAACAGGATGGTATCACAGTCTAGGTCCTTGATGCAGTCATTTAATGAGAACGAGTAATAACGTGGGACCAAAGATTGAGCCCTTTGGGACGCCACTCACCACGCTTACCTCCGAGGACTGTTGACGTCCGACCTGCACTCTTTGGGACCGTCCAGCCAAAAAGCTCTGGATCCATACAAGAAGGCGTCCACGAACTCCGGCGTTGCGCAGTTTGTCCAAGAGACGTTGGTGGGGGACGCTGTCGAAGGCCTATTTGAAGTCGATGTAGATGGCGTGCACCACATTGCCTTCATCGCGTGCTTTGGTCCAGCGTTCGAGCGTAAAGAGCAGATTCGTGAGGCAGGACCGACCACTTCGAAAGCCGTGTTGTGCATCAGAGAGGAGGTGGTGCTGCTCGAGGAACTGCATCAAGACCTTCCTAACGATCTTCTCCATGATGTTGCAACAGATGGAGGTAAGACTTACTGGTCTGCAGTTATTCGCAGACGCACGACTTCCGCCCTAATAAAGCGGAGTGATGGTAGCGGAATTCCAGTCAGAGGGCAGGCACCCGGTAAGAAATGACGTTTGGAAGATCAAGTCTAATGGCTTGGATATTTCGGGAGCTAGCTCCTTTAGCAGCTTGGCGTGATTGCATCAGGGCTTGGAGAGGGCGATTCTTTTAGGTTTAGTAACTCATTCCGAACAATTGCTTCAGTGAAATATACGGCTTCGAGGGTAGGCGGTTCTTCGCCTTCACAAATATGTGAGCAAATTCAGGTTCACTTGTCACGACGGACCGGAAGAACTGAGAGAGGTGTTCCGCCTTATCCTTGTCATCGGATATTTCCATTCCCTCGGCTGTTCGCAGCAGTGGAATGGGATCCTTGTTCCGCGTGCTTTGTCTTATGTAGCTGTAAAGGACTTTGGGATTAACCATAGCACGGTTCAAAAGATCCATTTCAAAGGCTTTCCGATCTCTGGCGATGATAATTTTGACTCGATTTCTCTATAACTTATAACCGCTTAGGTATTCTGGCGTCCGGTCAGTCAGGCATATTTTCCACAGAGTCCTCTTCTTTGTTAACTTCCTTCTTAAAGGAAGGAGTCAACCAGCGGGACCTATTTGTTAGTCTTCTGCGCATGATTGGGCAGTGGTTGGAGATGAGATTGTGGACTAACTCTTTGAACTGACACCAATCCGCTTCGACATCGCCGGAGAGAGTGAATGCCCAGTCGATAGGGCTAAGAATCATTCTCATCTGTTCGAAATCTCCGCGCCAAATATTGTGTCGGGAATCGAGCGGTTGTGCAAGCAGGGAGAAGAAGGTGTATTCCCACATGAGAACTACATGGTCACTCTGACCCAACGGAGGGAGGCAATTCACAAAGTCGATGTTGTCAGAGGACTTGGTGAACACTAGATCAAGGCAATTCATTAGTTGGTCCTCTCGAACTCTCGTTGGAAACATTACGTGTTGGGTGAGAGGTAGATTGTCTGAGATACGCAGTAACTGCTGGTCGAGTGCTGCTTCAGAGCAGTCGGCTGAGGCCGAGCTCCAGTTTATGTGAAGTGCATTCAAATCTCCAACGATGAGAGTAGTCGGTGGCATTGAAAATGGCCTAAACTCCTCCAGCAATTGGGCATCAGCTTCAGGGTCATTGCTCTGTGGGCGATATACTGTCAAGATATCGAGGCTTTGAGAGCCCGGTGCCCTTATCGTCGGCCACAATGCTTCCGTACTACAAGTCAATTGGGCAGTTTATTATGAAACGTATAAGCCATTCATAACAAATATTACTATGCCTTCACACCTCCGGATTTATCTGTCTCAGCGGAACAGTTGAAATCTAGGGAGCATGAGCTCTCTTTCATAAAATTGTTCGGACAGCCATGTTTCTGTTATTGAGATAACGTCTGGGTGGATGTCGTGGTTATGGATACGAAGTTCATTCAGTTTAGAAAGTACACATTGCGCGTTGGTATACATGAATATGAGTTTCGAGAGCATGCGCGATTTTATATCAACCATGACACCGGATAACCTGGTAGCCTGACGAATATATTCATGGCAAAGTTGAAAGTTTTCCAACTGCGTCACCAGATCAACGGTTTAAGATACTATGGGCGGTGGTACGTGGATAATATATTGGCAATTGAACCGAAACAAATTGACATCACCTCAAGTCGTCTACTGGATGCTATAAATTAGGCGTATCCATCAATAAAATTCATTCAGGAGGAATAGGAAGAAGAGTCCTGCGTTTCACTTGCCTTTATGGATGACCTTCTGAGCAGAAGACCTGACGGCAGCATTGGACGTAGCGTCTATCGTAAGAAAACCTTGTCCTGAAAAACCACTCATTTTGGAAGTTTCGTACCGTTAAACTCTAAACGCAATTTAGTCCGCTGTGTATGACAGAAAGAGTGAGAAGAATCTGCTCAGATGATAGTGATGTTGAGAAAGACCTTAAGGTCATCGAAGGCCTTTTGTTGTGCCAAAACGGGTATCCAGATCAACGACTCATTGCTGCTAAGAAGATGACCGAAAGAACATAAAAGCCCCCGATACCGACGACAGAAAAGAAAAGGCTCTTTATCAGGATCCCAATTCAAGGGGGTGCATCAAGCAAGCAAACTGTTAAAAAGACGCCGCCTAACTCAAGCTGTATTAGCACAGACCTTGCCAGCAGCTGACACCCAGTAGTTCATCCTACTATGCAGGGAGCGAGCAAGGGCAAACTGCCAGCTTA